TAACTGATTGCCAATAACCTCGGAATTTTTCGCTAACAAGGGAGGTCTTTGCAGGTCGTGGCGCGCTTTTTAAAATGGTTTGTTGCTTGTTGTAGGGGTCCATACAAGGATTACAAAAATGGGTTTCATTTTTGCTATGCGTTTCTGGACAGGGTAAAAACTGAGTGAAAAGAATTTGACAAGAATGGGCGATTTTAACTATCTTAATGGGCTCCGTTCTGATTGTAACTTCGAGCATGCATAGTTTATGAGGTGCTCGTTAATAAGGCTCGAAAATTGTTTTTAAAAAAGTCATAGTGTAAGTCTCCTCACCTGTATCACCTGTGCTCCCGTTGATCATCGAGTTCCTCGAGCGGCGCCAGTAACGTCTCCATTCGTCCTTTTCTCATGAACATCGTCTTCGTTAGATTCAGCCGTAGACCGATTTTTCCACACGCGCAGTCGAAATCAGCCAGCATTCGTTCCGCTTGCTCGATGTTTGGTGTTATCAAAACGATGTCGTCAGCAAAGCGGAGATGGTGTAGTTGCCGACCGTCGATCTTCACTCCCATGTCTTCCCATTCCAGTTGACGCATGACGTTCTCGAGAGAGGCGCTGAAGAGCTTGGGCGAGATGGGTGTCGGACCCCTCTCACATCAATGATGATCTCCTTGTAGAATGGTGAAATCTTGGTCGTGAAGTTGCTGTAGAGCTCACGAAGAATCCTGATGTACTGAGTAGGAATACCCTGGTTGCCCAGGGCTTCGATAACCGCTTCTGTCTCAACGGAGTCGAAGGCTTTCTTCAAGTCGATGAACGTGAGACATAACGGCATCTTGTACTCTCGCGATACTTCAATGAGCTTCGTTACCGTGTGGATGTGATCGATCGTGCTGAATCCTCTTCGAAACCCTGCTTGCTCGCATGGCTGTCCTTCGTCTAGTGTTCTGCCAATCCTGTTCAGGATGACTCGTGTGAAAAGTTTGTAGACTACAGACAGCAGGCAGATTGGGCGATAATTGCCAATGTCGTACAGGTCTCCCTTGTACAGCAACACAGTCTTGCTGGTTTTCCACGAGGTGGGTACCTTGCATTCCGACAGGTAGCGCGTGAAGAGTCGAGCCAGAGTTTTGACAAGAACTGGCGGAAGATTCTTCAGATGTTCGGGTCTGATCCTGTCGGGACCTGCCGTACGATTCTTCACCGACGAGATGGCGTGTCGGACTTCGGAAGAGAGAACTGCAGGAACGACATATCCATCCTGCTCCAAGCGGTATGGTTGCAGGTGGACGTGGCTGTCAAAGAGATCCGAGTAGAAGTCGTGGATGATTGTTCCATCCGGACGTCGGAGGGCGGTCATCTTAGTCTTACAGTTGGCGAAGTCGCGGCGGGCGTTGCGTACGCTCTTCCCAGCCTCTGCGGCTTCCACCAGTACTGCTGCTCTTCTCTCCTTGAGGTCTTCCTTTATCGCTTCTCTGCATAGCTTCGCAAGCTCAGACGTCAGCTGGTAATTGCCTGCGGCTCGTGCGGCTCCACGTTGGCGAATCAGCTCGAGAGTTTCCAGAGATAGACGCTTCTTGGTAATCTTGGAACCCTCTGACTTCTTGGCGCAGTCGTGAAGATGTGCAACAAAGCCTTCGATTCCTTCAGTTGAGAAATGGCCTAATTCTAATTCAGAATATCTCATTAAAAATCAGCATGCTAGCTCGATTAAGCCTTAACACATCCAGCCGCCTAGAAAGCAAAAAAAAACACCCCTACAAAAACAGCTATTAAAAATTATGCGTAGTTCGGCTCGCTAAGCGCATTTTGCTGGTTCTCAGCTAAGCGAGAACGAGAGCTTCGTCTACACTGCTCTAGAGTCTCCATGTAACCAGAAGGAATTGACAAGAGAAACTAGTGAAAATGCGAAAAGACCTCCTCTGTTGCTGCTGTTGCTCCTCTGGCAATTTTTCGAGCATTATTACCTGTTGAGCTGGAAACAATGTCCCGTGATATATCTCGTCAATTTCAACGACTTAAACATCAGCATGGTGAGATGTTTCAATTGCAGATTCCTCGCTATGCCTCCACCACCTGTGCGAGTTCGAGCCGATCGTCGTGTTCAGGGGTTTATGGCCCTACTTTCAACAGCAATAGGAACGAAAATGATAATAGGAATCAACTTTTGATCGCAGATGGAGATGACCCAGTGTAGGTTAAGTCCAATCTTAATCTTATTATTTTCTATTGTAGTTATGACCCTACGTGAAATCGCCCTAGTTTAATCTCAATTGTGTTGTAAAGGTGCTAAGGCAAAACAGCAACTGAACTTTGGTGTACTTCGTTTAGACATGCAGATTATATGTCATCTATGGTTTGCCATCCGCCGCTGAAAAGTATTGGTCAAGGCCGACATAATACTTATTTGTGTCAGTGGTTATCATGATCTGTTTGTCCTATTTTCGTTACTTTGAGCCGCTTTAGTGGAAGGATTGCCGGAATACGACGAGATACTGAATCTTCCCGGTCTCAAAGAAAGTCCTGATTTGATGAAGAGACTTGATGAGTTGTGTCTCAAACCCAGATCAAACAGTAAAACATCTTGTAAATCGTCTTCAGGTTAGCTGATCTCATAGCTTTATGTTTAGTGCAATGGGATAATAATAAGGCTGAGTACTTCAGAATCTGTGAAACTTCCTGATTTGAACGAAATCTACAAAAGCCGGTCGGGTTGTGTGTCCCAATGTTCACAAGCGTCAGCGTGCGCGCATGCGATGGCTCCTCTAGATGAAGGTTGTTTTCTGATATGCTGGTTTACTTCACAATAATCGATTTTTGTTCAGAGCTCTTACCAATTCCATCGGACTCGCTTCTTGAAGCGTTATCTCTTGTGCTTCTTTCTATACCTTCATCCCGTCGTCGTAAACTTCATTACTTAATACGATTCATGAACAAAATCGCAGCCAATCACTGTCTACAGCTTGATGCAATGCATTCTAATCGGGAAGCGGTTGGTGTCAGTTGCTGCCTACCACGCTGTAAATACACTGTTTTCTTTTGCTGAACGACAAATTTCAGGTGCTAAAAGGTTTATCCAGATGCATAGTATCGCTCCGAGGATCTCCTTTGATTACTGCTCCACAACGTACTCGCCTGGTGTCGATCCTGCTTGATTACGAAAAGAAGGTTTTTGGTGTCCCGAAAGGTCTGGTTTCAGAAGTTGAGGAGGCTATTCGAGAACGCCAACGAGAGAAGGTTAGTTAAGACCGTGGATCGTCCACTTATACCGTGGAGTAACTTTCTGGTATTATTCACCATCTAAAGCTAACGGCAGGATCGTCCACTTAGGGTTGCTTGTTAGGGGGCGTGATGACGGTGGTAAATGTCAATGGTCACGCCAGCACAGTTGATTTTGCACTGATTAACGGTTAAGATTCAGCTCTCTCTCTGGCTGTATTTGAAAGTGTTCACGTCGGTCCCAGAAACGGATTTGTTGGGCGGTAGTGAACGTTGGCTAGTGACTGACATTATTTATAGTTTTGATTTTCCTCAAATACGATTCAGCACTGCGCTTGGATTACGCGACCACAGAATTCATCTCAAATACGCAACTGTTACACGTATGCGCCAAGTCCTGCGACCTCGGCACGCAGTTGAGCTGAAAGTGGGGTATGCAGATATTGTTGGGCGGGTATACGGTAAGTTTACTGTAGAATAGGGCGGAGCCTATCTCGCCCTTTTAATTATCGCCTGGGGTGTGACCTCATTAAGTTGCATGCGGCGACTGCTGTCTCGCCTGGGGTGTGACCTCATTAAGTTGCATGAGGCGACTGCTGACCTCAGCGGCTCTAATGCGAATACAATATCGAGTTGAACGATTAAAAAATGTGTCGGACGATCCGGAAGGCGATTTTTGAGGCTGCGCTACTTTCAAAATGTGAAAAACGGCAAGAACTCCGCTAGAAGCTGACTAATTAGGCCCATGGACACCCCTTAGGCCATGCCCTCACCGGCTGCTAGCTACTAGCTAGTAGCCACTATGTTATCTTTCTCTATAACATTTCGGACTGCTTTTTCTGCTGCTTTTCTCCGCTAATCAGATACTTAGCACTTTTTTGTGCCTATTTGAGTTCCGTTTCCCGCAATTTGCGGTCGCGAACTGTGCCTTTAACTAAAAAAAACCGACTATCACCTTTAACTAAAGAACTTTCCGGACAACCTAATAATAACGATAATTATAATAATATTAAGACGTAATAAAGTGTTTCATTTAATCGTTCAACTCGATATTGTATTCGCATTAGAGCCGCTGAGGTCAGCAGTCGCCTCATGCAACTTAATGAGGTCACACCCCAGGCGAGACAGCAGTCGCCGCATGCAACTTAATGAGGTCACACCCCAGGCGATAATTAAAAGGGCGAGATAGGCTCCGCCCTATTCTACAGTAAACTTACCGTATACCCGCCCAACACGACCCTGTATAGTTTGGCCGAATGTATACGTTGCTGACTTGAAAGTAGTAGTTTTGAGGAGATTACCTCGATTAAGACAGTTCACGAAGTTCGCCTCAATGACCAGTGCATTTGTTTTCGGGTGCGCATAAAGTCCCTTTCCTCGCCTATCAAGCGCGAAAAGTTGTGATTGGCCACTGGATGACCCTTCCTGCGCTCGGGGCTAAGCTGGCACCGACGCCAATCGATAGAGGCGTGAGATCACTTCCCAAGTCAACGTGATATTAAATGATAACAAAGGGTAAGCAGTACGAAATAACAACAAATATGTTTACGTGTCAAACATTGTTAGAATAACCGTTTTCAGTTTAAATCGAAACTGGATTTCGAAGAGTGGTGAAGGTTAATAGCGCGGCTCTCAGATGAGTTGTGTACTTTGATAGCAAAATCCATGCTTTGTGTGGGAGAAACCTTACTTTTTCTATCAGTTCAATTTCTGTCACCATCGAAGTCATCAGAATAGTGCGTAGTCGGAAAATTCTCATACAGATAATATAAGATGCATCAGCAAAACATTTCATCGTTCACACAAAATTAAATAAGAAAAGTCATTTCTGGCTATTCCACAAATTTTGAAGCCACTTTCACCACTTTCCGGTTCCGGGATCTCGTTTCGCACAAGCGAGAAGTCTTCCTCCTATGCTCGCACAATGCTTGGAATTCTATAATAGAGCCGACAAGGCGTGCGCGAGGATATTACTACTCGATGTTACCATCCGACCATATTTCATCGAATGTATTCAGCGACATGGAAATAACCAACGGTAACAGCATAAATCATTTAACAACGAAAAACCAGCTATTAACAACATGAAACCAGCCTATTTATAGAAGCGTAAACTGTTCATAGACAGGGAAACAACGTCATTTTCTCATTCATCGCGTTAAAGCGGAGGCCGGCCTTATACAACAGAAAATGAGATGATTCAAGATGTAGTAAGAGTGAACCAAGTGGCGGCGTTTCAGTGAATTTCATTGATGAACGGATATTCTGCAGTAAGTGGTGCTGCGTGTCTCCAAAGCTGGTTGTTTTCTGAACATGGTACACTATTTGGTGCGCTAATTACATCATTGGGCTGATGCTGACTGTACTGGATGTCCTGGTACTCTCCGTGACTCCCCTTCGTTATAGAATAGAAGACACAGCTGAGAATCATACTTTGCTCTGGGAATAGGGTACTGACCGAGTAGGTCGAGGTGGGGCGAACCGGCGACAGATGCCGGCGGGCCGAATCCGCATCTATGAAGGAACGGGTCGCAGTCGGTGCTAGCCGTCCTAGTAAGGCCTTCCCGTCGCGGACCGTCATATATGTATTTTTGCTCCATCGAAGCCTGTGCTCAGCACATTACATGGGCGCACATGTGCTTCGCCGCGTGTGACAAAGCTGCAAGCATGCAACCCCTATCCATCACGATGAACGGGCTGAGAGCCTCACACCTTCCCCTTCATCCAAATGCGTCTGTTTTTAGAAGAATGACTGGTGGTTTGGGTGGACAAGGACGTCTAGAATAAAGGTGTATATGTGGTCGGCCCCCGATTCTTGGTGAATGTTCCTTCATGTCGCAAAGAAATATCTGGAAGAATAGAATACTCAACAGAAAGGCAAAAAGGAGCGGAACGAAATCAAGCAGGTCTTTCAATTGAATCTCCCTGGGCTGTGTAGTCTGCAAGCTATACGGCCAAAGCGAGCAGAAAAAAAAACAAAAGGCAAAAGGAGAAGAACCCACGAAAGGTACTCCCGCGGCGAATTCCTTGCAAAGCTTTCTTCGCGTGCCACGCGGGTTTCAGAATCAGAATTTATTGATGACACTCAATCGTCTGTAACGCTCAGGCTCAGCAGCGCCGTCAGTCGCAGTCTTTTATGCGCCTCTGCGCAGCCATCCGAGCTGGTCAAGCTGATAAGTGCATGAAATGTTAGGATAAAGAGTTGTCATAAGTGAAAGCACAAACCTATGTTCACCCTTCTAATCTACCATGAAATAGATAAATATAATAGGAAACAACTGCATAAAAGCAGCACAACAATATGAACAGATCACGTCGACCTTGGTGTCGACACTCGGCGGCCATGAAAAAGGCCTTCCCTTTGGACAGTCAGGGGGCAGCAGCGTTGATGATAGCTTTAGAGTTTCGTGCTCACTGTGGGAACTTTCTTCAGATTACTAGTCTGCTGAGTATTCAAGTATGTCCTATGATAAATTATTCGTACCTACACAGAGTAATGGCTACGGTGAGTCTGATTAAACATCCTCTAGGAACTGACTGGAGTGCCGGTCGACTTTCATGCAGGTTATAAGAAGTAGGACTGCATATCTCACGCTTTTGGATGAAAACGGTATTTTGCTGGACGACGAGACGTTTTAGAGGGATCTTCGGGCGGCGCTGTTGTTTTTTAAATAAAACTTATGACTGCGATTGATGAAGATACTGCGCCTTTTGCTAACAGTGCGCAGACCAACTCTTCACAACAGAAGCCTCAAAGTGGCTGTAGTGGGACTGAACCGGTGAATGCCGAGAGTGAACGATAAGATCAACAGACACGACGGGCACTTCTGGGATATATAGGCGGTAAGGCGTCCGGTGAGGAGGTGACGATGTCGAGTGATTAGCCAACCAGAGAACCATTGTAAACGATCTCGTTGGCAGTTGGTTGAGAGAAGGATGGGCTCTCAAGTTGGTGATTAGCGGAGCCAACGTGAGCTCTTTCCAAATAGTAACCCTATAACTCCTTTTCCCCCTACCATGAGGCGAGCGACCATTGATTTGATTTCAAGCTGATCGTCGCCTCTAATGAAGACATGACGATGAACCACTCGCTGCTAACGATATGGATCCTGATGCTTTCCAGGACTAACTCCTGTAGTCGCTTATGAATACAAGGCACAGCCGAGAATGGTAGCTGAGTGAAGGAATAGCAGCTGACCAAAAGAGTAGGGGAACGTACAGGCGGCAAATGCCGGAGAGACGGTAGTAATCATCATGGTACCAGAAAAAACGGCTCACCGCGGTTCGTCGTATATGTGCGTTCGCTCCGAAGAAGCCTGTAATCAGCACATTGCAACAGCGTACATGAACTCCACCGCGCATACTAAGGTTGCAAGCGTGCAAGTCTTCTATTGATCACGGCGGATGAGCCGACAGGCGTACACTCTTCGATGGTATGACTTCACATAGCTTCCCAAACCAGTCAAGTTGTTAGCTGAGGAATTACTCGGGACTGTTACCTGGAACTTTCCCAGTGGCTTGCATGCAGAGACCGTATTTTGATTTCGCAGAGATTGTCGCTTTGTTTTCACACATCGGTGTTCCTTTTTTTCATCAGTTGTATAACGAGAGCACACTTGATAGAAGTCATAACATGGAAAATGGTTAACGAATATTACAAGATTTCATGGGCAATAAAAAAGGGCAATGGAACATACTAGATAATGCAGATATGTTGAGGTCATGCCAACCGAACAAGACATGTTGAAGAATCCCACTACTGGAGGCAGTGTGCACTTTGTCAATCCCGTGAAGGTAAATTTCTGCATTTGTGCACCTATCAGATCTTTTCCAATTTCGTACTGGCATAACTTGTTTTTTTACTTCACCGTATTCTAGTGTTTTGTAGGTCTGCGTCTATGAGGAGCAAAATCAGCATCTTAGCCAAAATCTTCTAGAGCTGCTTGAGCAGATTTGTTGCGATGAAAATTTGTCTGTGATCGAGAAACGGAAGCGATTGAAGAAGGTCAGTGTTTTGGAATTCCTAATTCACTCCTACAGAAAAGAAGGGTTTTGGTCATAGCGTTCGACTCCGCAAAGGCGTCGAACCCATGCTTATTACATTGTCACTTGGCTAATGCACGCTGTGGTACGCACAACACGCGAAACCCTACGCGCAGCTTAACAGCTTATTTATTGCCAAAAGAAAGTGACTATCAGCGATAATCAGTGACATAGAATGTCAGGTAAAAAGAAAAGCCAAAACTGAGGAGCACTCAATAATAGGCGAACAAAGAGTGAAGTAGAATGTTCAGTTGAGTCTAGCGGTTTTGATGAAAAGCAGAAATTCATGAGAGAAGTTCTAGTGTTAGTTGAGGAATGATTGTCATTCCTTTCTCAACCTTTCGAACAGTAACGTTGAGCAGTTGTTAACAGTCACAACTAATATGAAGCTCTTTTTCAGTTCAAGAAAACTTATCCTGCTATCTACTCGCAAAGATTTCCGTCGCCAGATTTAACGCACTCGAGAAAAAAAGACAGGGAGGGCAGCCTGTTCTCGAGACTTTTTGGTCGTTGAGTTTTTCTCGAGGGTTGGGAAAGCATTTTGCTAGTTTCATTAAGATCTTATATATGTCTGCATATTACGTCTATAACAACCACTTCATTTTTGATACTCACCCCACGTTGGTTCTTTATTATTGGAAATGTTGGAATTGTGGTTTGTCCTGTTCGTAATTCTATTTTTTTAATCCTGCAAAGAAATTTATATGAAAGTTTTATTTGTGTACATAACCTTCAGACATATAGCTAGCTGCTCACTAAATATGATGCATTTTGGCCACTCTATTATTAAGGTTGTTTATTTTGTGATAATTGTTAAATATAAACGAGATAGTGTAATAATAACGTCCAGAGCACAAGTTTCACATTTGAAAGTGTGGAGCAGTTCTGGTAATCGATGCCAGTTCTCCGCTATGGTGTCCCTGTTGCAATAGTATGAAATGACGCGTTTTATGAAAGTTCACATGCCACAAGAAGTGCGTGGATGTACCTCCGTGAGCAGATATAAGCAGCCTTTACAACTGCTTCCACGGTGGAAAGAAGGGGAACTGGCGCAGTTCGGCTCGGTCGGGGTGTCTCGCTGGTTCTCATCAATCACTACCAGTCCGTCCAGTGAAAACATGTAAAATCCTCCAGATCATGCAATCGTTCATGCTTAGCAGGAACCCACAAGTGTCACCAAGGTTAGACGTGAAAAGGTGCAAAATGTCGCACATCCTGGGCTAGGTAGCCATGTATGATCACTAAAGGTCTCACGACAAGCTGCTGTATTTGTGCGAGCCTGAAGCAGCTGCTAATTTCCACGGTCTACGCAGAGGTCTCTGAAGAGGTGGGACCCTGTAATTCATGATTTTTTACAAACCAGCAGATTCCTAGCCATTAATATAGAGAAGTGTCCGAAGGTGAATGTTCAGAGCGATCATTTACCCTTCACTTTAAGATGAGCTCTACACTCCCTTCAAGACGACCGTTTCCATGTGCGAGATAAATGGGTTCGCAGCTGCAACACCGAGCCACTTTCTCCGTTCAACTAGGCGCGATAACTAGGCTGGGTTGTAACAATACTTGGTGCCTTGTTCGTACTCCGTCCCCGCTGCTATGAGGCGCAGCAGAGGGGTGTATCTCACGCGGTGGAAAGTTTTTTGAGCGGTTGACTCTCTATGCCGATAGTGTACCAATTTTTTCGTGTCCGATAGCTGATAGATAGGATGTCTAATGTAAACTCTAGTTCGCTGCGGATGGTTGGGCGTGTCAGGCAGAATGAGTGTGTCACCCCGTCAAAGCCGTTATCTGTCTCCTTGTTGAAGGGGAAAAAAGGTAGAAAACGAGTAATACGAACGATATGATACAGTCATATCATTTGTTCGCTTTAACAACTAGTGGAGAACGGGTTTGGCACCGCGCCAAACTCATCCCGCCTTGACACGCCCAACCGTCCGCAGCGAACTACACTATACTCGCGCACGAGCAAAATTGTAATGGCAATCATACTGAGCGATCGTTCTTCTCGCAATTATAGCCAGGGAAGTCCGCCAACTTACCATGGAACTTTGAATGGAGACCTAGGTAGATTGATAAAGTCTATAAGGTTATTTACAAATATAGATAGCAAAGCTGCAACCTGCATTTCCGTGGTGGTTCAGTGGTAAGGTTTGATATTCAAGGACACGATTCGACGTATGCGATTCCTCGCTTATGCTTCACAGCTCACCACCAAGCCTCCACCCTACTGCACCATTACAAACTTTACCTGCTCATAAGTTGCTTGTGAAATGCAGGTTGCAGTTTTGCTATCTATATTTGTAAATAACCTTATAGACTCTATCGATCTACCCAGGTCTCCATTCAAAGTTCCATGGTAAGTTGGCGGACTTCCCTGGTCAGACCCCATCACCAAAATGTTTTGAGGTGATCCACAGACACTTAATACACAAGACGCAGTCTTAGCATGTGCCTCTGTGTCCGCATTAGATAGACTCACCTTCACATATATGGGTTCAGCATACAGTTTATATGGTCGAAATTACATTCGAAACCCTCAGATACGGTGAACGTGGCTGTATTTCAACTAAACGTGGCGGTGACTGTGCTTTTGGCAGAATTTCCTTCTGAGATCACTGTAAATGTCTTTGACCAACAATAAGATGACAGTTGTCTCAACTTGAAAGATCCCACGAGTAACCCATCCAATGCCATGTTCAAATGCCACGCTTACTCCGTCTCAGAGATAATTGGTATACTCAGGGTAATGTCAGGCGTGAATGAGCTCGCCCACGGCGTTTTCCGCCTCTCGCTGTTTCTAAAAGAAAACAGTCTAGGACGGGCTCCTTCCACGTCTCCTGCCACCGTCCCGTTGGACTGCGACGAGGTCACCTGCACTTTTCTGACAAAGCGTCGTTCATAGGACAACAATAATCCACGCACGCGAAACAAAAAAATTTATTTTGATATGAAAATCCTATTGCGGCAAATAAAAATACGATATGGGCACCTGAATTATCACAATGATCAATGAGATAAGAAACTGTACATAAACACTTGTGGATATCATCATATATTATGTCATACCGCGCCATTCCAATACACGAAGTGCTTCTGTTTTTAGTTAATGAAGTGAAAAGCGTAGAAATAATTTACAACAGCGAGATAAATCCCTCAAGTTAGCTCAACATTTAAAAACCGGTACTCATATTATTTACACCTCGTTTTTCGACTTAAAGGCACAGCCCATGACTATCTGAGCAACAAACCCTTTTTTTCCTGTATAAAGTGAACAGGTAGGGTCGCCAGAAGAGCACACTATTCGATGCTTGGAAGCGCGAATCAGGTCGCTAGTGGCTTCCCATTTGTCTCGCTCTGAGGGCTAGCTATTTAGCACCTCAATATCTGTTTTAGAGCGTGACATATCCTACCAAACAATCATGGAATGTGCCTTTAAAGGCAGAGAGCGCGATGACTGGGAGAGGGCGGTTGCTGCAGCGTTCAATTGGCGGAAGGGCTGCGAGAAGCGTTTCGCCCACCCCCACTCGACCCGCCCACTAACGACGTTGGCAGCGACAGCCCGCCCCAGCCATCGCTGCCCACTGCCTTTAATATGAAAACTATGAGCAATTGTTTGTGGAAGCTAATCTCGAGTATCGAATAAATAGGAGAAGGCATGTATCAACACTGGTTTTGGTTACTGCAGTAAGAAGTTCGGACAACAACAAATGGCTGTAATCCCAAAGCACATGGCATTACAGAACCTTCTTCCATCGAAAAATTTAAGAAAGTAGGGTGATGGCGGAACGCGCAAGAAGTTGGCAAAGGTTGTTCCGACCTTTCCGTAAGGTTCCAGTCACAACCATCTTATGAATGTCTCGCCTATAAGAGTACACATAACTATGCCTGGGATTAGAGCCTAACTAAGTAACTAACTAAGTAACTAACTTTAGAAAACCAGCAATAGAAAATGTGCCTACCTGCAGTTGTGTTAAATACAGCGCTCTTTTAGTTTCGATCTGCTTCTGAGGGAACGGATTCATGTCGTTGAACGCTACCTATACAATCAAAGTACATTCAACAATCTCGAAACGAATTCTCTTAGCTAGCGAGCTAGGCCACATACTTGCGCCAATAACTTGTAATCAGTGACGAATTGACGGGGCCTGCTCAAACAAGCATGCACCATACTGACAGTCTTACTCTGCAGCACAGCTGATTCACACATCTTCAATATCGCCAACGCGAATCGAAACAAAGACTGAAATGCAAACGAAATCACATAGATAACAAGCCTGAGAACTTCAGTGCAGAGAGGAGGAATATTGCTCTTATTTTTAGACTTTTTGTGAATGAGAGGTCGCTGAGTGGAACACCCAGTGACGCACATTTCGAACAGATCCTCTTCAGTGACGCCTAAACGAAGCCCAGAGTTCTAGCTGCCCCTCAGGTCGCCGGACGCCCCTTCTCTCTAAAACCCCCGAAATGCATCTTGTGGTATGACCCCTCCCCTTCCACATCCTATCTACCATCTTGTTAAAATTTCCCAACTTTCTATCACTATTCTGAAGCTTTTTCGCCAAAATTCTTCGGTTTTGAGCGATTTTTTCAAAAAATTTCTCTGACAGGCTACGGCCATCGCCCTCTCCCAATGACAAGTAAATACGCAGCCTCTTCCCCGACCCTAACACCATTGCATTTTCCCTTCGATGTAGATGGCGCCCGTGAAACAAGGAAACATGAGCTACCAAGAAAGTTCCTCATGCCAAACAGTATCTCTCCCCCTCACTGGGGAGTCCTCAACCTACGACGCGCCCTGTATCCGGTGGAAAAGATTTTTCCTTGGGATACCATCAAAAGAGGATAAGCACTAGAAGATACTTAGACGTGTTTCCTCTCAAATTTGACAAAAACGGAGGAATGGCACTATCAGCATTCACTTTTTTTTTCTCAGATTGTCTTCACTTCCATTCAGGATCGTAGCGGCCTTTCTATATGCGATTTGGCCTACTCAACAACTTGCGGGGTCTGCTAAACTACAAGCCAACATTTTGTACAGTATGACGAATCCGGTACCATTCCATTCTGGTCCCGGAGGGATGGAGCGCCTAGTTAGTCTGTATAGAAGCCACCCGATACAAGGTTGAACTCGCAAGCGGAGCGCGAAAAACGGCGCCATTTCCCACCAAACCATATTCGGCCTCCGATTCGAGAAAGACAAATGAATAACTCAAAGAAAAAGATTAAGGAGGCAGATGAAAAATGCAAAAGCTTCATTATTACATTCAAGTTCACTGGAAAACTACCTTATTTCCTTCGTAGAGAAAAACGTCGAAAATCGGTAGGTAAATCTGATGTGGCATCACATCAACGAAACATGTGAGGAACCAACTCAGCGCAAACAACGACAGATCCACTTCAAATTGTCGTAAATGGGCAGCGAAACGAGGCAACTTCTCCGTCACCAAGTCGCGTAATACCTTAAGGATGAAGTGAAATGATACTTCCACCAACGTAAGGTATGCTGAACGGTATCTGAACATTTTATTAGCAATCTGCGCACAAAAACTAAACTAACCTTCTGATCAGCCACGGCACCTATAAGGTTACTCGCATAGTAATTGGGAGGTTGAAGTTCTGTGAATGCAATAAGGAACCAGAACGCGTCTTCCTCGTCAAGATACAGTAACGCTACTGCAGCTATCCGATTCAAACCCTGAAACTTGTTCGGTCATAAAGACTTCTTTGAGTTTCATTACAAATACTAAGATCAACAAACCTGGCAATATCCTATGATCGTATCGTGATTTCTGTAGGCATACAACACTCTTCGCAACTGCTTTACCTTTTCCGAGTCAGGATCGGCAAACATGCTATTTGCCGAAAGAGTCCGTACAAGATCAAGATCGATCTAAAAAATATAAGTTTCGTTCCTCGCACCTTTCAGTCCAGCATTACAAACCTTAAGATTTTTTTGCTTCTCGACTATTGACGACCTAGCGATAAAGGAAAAAGGCGTCAGTGCTGATAGATCCCATCAGTGAGGGATCCTAAAGGAGAGAAGAGAGAGGAGGTTCAATATGATTGCTAAGTGAAGAGCCGCACTTACAGGACACTTTCATGAATGTCAGGAAACGATCCTTCGGAAGTAGCAAATATAGGTTGAGAGCAGAAGTCCTGTCGAGCCGTGCTGTGACATTTTTTCTTTTTTATTTTCGAACTCAACACACAGTGGGAATTAGTCTATAATATACTCGTCATAATTAGCCACTACAGTGCTCCACCTAATGGACAGGTAACCATTTCCCTCACCCAGAACTGAGAAGGTTACGAGTAGAGGAATTCAGCGCCCTCTCGACTGATGTCATCAAAGTTGCTGAAAGTTTTCGATGATAAAAAGGCTTTAAGAAGGTGGAGCAGGTAGCAGCCGTAGGGGACTACGTCAGAGAGTACGATGAGCGGGATTTGGTCACCCATCCTTGCTCCTCAATTATTTGGTAGGCCTAGCAGGTATGGGGTCTCGCGTACTATGAACGAGGTGCTCCGAAGCTAGTTTCGGTCATTTTTCTCCAACAACTTCCACCGGTTTGGAGCTGAGCGACACAAATGGTGGCGGTGATCGTGTGTTCTTACAGGGCAGCTCGTTCTGCAGCATCCCCCTCGCGTCCCAGGAGCAGCACAGGAACCTTCTCGGAATACATGCCCGGTTTGGACTGCTAGAATGGATCTTCTCTTGAGAGAGACACACGGTACTGTGTGGGTTGAAATCACAGAGGACCCATCTGTCATCTCCACTGAGCAGTCTCCCAGAAACACCTTTTGACGAGGGCGGAGAAGGGGAGACTGACCAAGGGGTACCCGGGTGCACAGCGTGCCATCGGTCAAGGTATGAGTGATCCATCGAGCCAGTACTTTTCGGTAGTCAAGGGCTTACAGGCGGTTGACGACTGTCAGTTAGGTACATCCGAGTCTTGTCGCAAGACTGCGGGTGGTAACCTCCGGATCCTCCTTGACAGCTTCGAGAATGGTGGAGTCTTCCACTTCGTGGGGCCGTCCCAACCGAGGTTTGCCTTCGAGGGTCGTGTCTCCTTTCGCGAAGCGAGCGAACCAAAGGATGGACAGTCATGATGGTAGTGGTGTCCTCCGCCAATGCACTGCTGATGTTGCGGACAGCTGCCGCTGCTCCAGTGCCGCGGGGCCACTGATAGAACATGATGACCCGAAGATGCTGTGAAACTGACATCGTAATTAGACCCAGGAAAGTGCAGGCGCCCTCACACAACTCTTGCAGGAAAGCTCCTAGAATGTTCTACAAGCATGGCATGTTACGCCATGTTCGAGCATCAAGAACCGAAAAGTGTAGGCTTTTCAAAAAACACTGACAGGACTTTCTTTCCAACCTAATTTTTCCACTAACCCTGCATGAGACCGGAACACATGGCGCTTACTAGTCACACTGAGCAGGAGTTATGAGGTGAAAGTTCCATCGAAAATTCCTACTGAACTAAGACCTCCAGAAACGCAGCAAATCCGAGAGCGATCCTTCTTCTCCCCATAAGAAAAAGGGTGAAACCATTCGCCTTCGATCAATCCTTTTTTGAACTGCGACACGCAATCTTCTTTAATGACTACAATGACTTACGGGGGCTTCCCGATGTACAACTCAGTGTTTTCACCCTCCCAAAGGAGTCATAGCTATTTAGCATCTTCGGAGGGTAAAATGATTGGTTAGACTGGGCGGAAACCTTCCGGGATTTGATTTCGGACCGCGCGCGGGTACCCGGGCCACTGGTCGCTATACTACCTGGGCCTCGCTCCTTCTTAGGAGTATTTTTTCATAAGCTCGTCTGTCCCCACTGTTCTTCGAGTTCTTGGCATCTTGTTACTTTGTTTGTACTGAATATTGTATCAGAATATCATACTCCTTACTAGTGTTTTTCAACAACTTGAAAGAATTCACTAGTGACTTTTTCTTGTTGACCTGAGCGTTCTGTATCCAACACCGCCGCACAGGCGATAAGTTTCACTCACCTAATCGAACCCCAACATTAGATGTTTCGAAAGGTTGAAGGGAAGCGGATTCGATTGAATTCCTTCAGGAATTAGTAAGAACTATTTCTGTAACACAATATGAGCCTAACCTGCTTAATGGAAGTGTCGTAAACCCCATTCTCCTGCTGAGTGAGAGTTTTGCGGAGCATACTGCTATAATATCCATTTCCCAATTCCGTTATTTTTTCCTTCATAGTGAGTTGTATCAACCTGAAATGAAGACAATGCACAATGCACTTTGCTTAAACCTGCATAAAATTTCACAACGTTATTGTGCTACCGTAGCCTCACTACATCATAACCGCTGATGCACCATCGTCTGTAGGGGTATGTAGCGCTTAAAGGCAATTCCCGCGACCACACTTCATAGGTAATAGAGTTCAAAAATAGAATTGTGATTGTTGACTTATTGAAGACAAGGAACCACGAAAAAGCGCCCGCAATAAGACCCTCTTTATTTCAATTAATCATGATCACCGGACGAGCATAAGGTGGTAAAAATAATGGATTGCAAAAGGCGACGAGGCACTGAGAAGAGACGAGACAGGCCAGAAAATGGCGGGCGAGAGAGCGCAACGGCAATGTCACTACGACACGGTCGTTTATCGCGGAACGTGCCTTTAAGTATAAAGCGCTAACCATTAGAGTACGAATGCAGCACTTGCTTAAAAAATAATAATAAAAAAAAAACAAAAAACGCGGAAAACTATAGAAGCTAACGTCCGCGTCAAAATTAAGCGCTAAATCCGTACAAACATTTGCAGATCGAGTCCTTGCTAGTTCCACCGCCCTCGCTAATTTAACGCCAGCATCAAATCAACGTTTAACGCCAGCACTAAATCGACGCGAAATGGGGTAAATAAGTACCACACTTGTGACTAGGGCATCGAAGACCGACTGTGTTGTCACGTCCGTGGATCCTTGTCCCTCGTGGATCATTTGTCCCTGCCAGTGGTGCGATGAACTGTGTACCAGCCTGTCACTTTCTACTAACAAGTGCCTGGGAGCGGGGCTGGAGGAACTGATACCGGGTGCCGTCTCCATGCTCCAGACACGCCTAGCCATAGCCGAATGCGCTACTTGTCGGGACCCTCTCACTTCTAGTTGTTCTCTACCGCTGAGTGTGTTACCTCTGGGGGATCTCGGTATCAACGCGGGTGCTACACAGTGAGGATATGATCAGAGTGTGGAGGAGGCATTCATGTATCACTACACACCACCTCCGTTACCGGGCCCTTTCAAGCCAGAACTGGCACGCCACTGCAGCACCCATTAATCTCGCAAGTGGAAAGGAGACATCCTCGAACTTGAGTGTGCAAATTTCTTTGATTAACCAACGCTTCAACGAAAAAAGCTTCCCTCATTCTGGCATTGAAGAAGAGGGATAGGTGTCAATTATCCTTTGACACGGCGAGCAAATTCATCAGTTTCTCATGCTTTCTACCAGAAAAAGGGTGAAGGTGTAATGAGATACATCAAAACACAGATGCTTTGTAACACCCCTTCCCCAAACGATCCACCGCTATTTTGTCAACCAAGGAGCCTTAAAAAAGCTATACGAGATCGAAGAAACGAACCCCTTCCAAACCCGTGATCGATATGCTTCAGGGATTCCCGTGCGAATGAGAGTCTTCAACTCTTGACTTTCCACAAGTGGTCGTCCAACCCAATTCACCATAAAAGCATCCCAGGATTGTAGCCATAACATGTTCTCTTTGCTTTGTTCCTGAATAGAATACGCTTAGAAAGAATGAAACCTCACAGTAACTGTAGAGTCAACTAACCAAATTTGCTGCTTCCAGGCACTGTGCGCCTTTATCGGCATACTCTGCTGCCAAGTTCAACAAATCTCCATTACTTGCTCCCTGAACAGTACCTAGATATGTGTATAACAGTAGCTAGATATAAAACGTGACCTTATTTTCGCTACCGGCAAGGTGAATGATTACTTTCCAATTTTAAAACAAACGAGTTCAATTCAAACTGTGCTCAAGTTAGGAAAAAAGTAGAATCGCTACGTTTTTTATTGTTAGGGCGTGTATTCATTACCCTTGATCAAAGGACGTTTGGTGATGAGCGAAGATGCAGTTGCAGATTTGCAAAACCATCCTATATGAAAAATATAGTACTACCTATATATTACATTTACTACCAAAGGCGGATGTAGTGTGTTGCAGTGGCTCGCTTCCACGGTTCGAAACCGTATAGTCTAGGGGAACCAAGCCTTTTCTCCATGAGAATGGTAAATTGGCAACAAATCTGTCTGAGAAGATTAAAACACTGACTTTTACATCGGCTGACTATGGATAGACGTGTTGTATTAGAAGAAGTAGGTTGCCCGCCCCACCATAAGGACTGGAACAACGGTGGAACCTTTACCTTCTCCATCCTCACCTATACATATACCCTGTGTGCCAACTACCGAAATTACAGGGTAGAACTCCCTAACATAAGAGGTGCCTGCACCCATCGGGCCAAAACGAGATTTTTCCCATTCGATGGCGCGTACGCCCAGGGCCTTTCAACTCCGCGAAGTGCTAGGCGACATGAAATAAACCAGTCTTTCCAGGACGGCTGGGTAATATCATATGTATGAACCATGTATATGTCATGTATGCATCCCATATCCAACTTGTATGTATTCATATATATAGTTGGCGGGAAAGTTCTGTCACATTTTTTTTAAATTAAGATTCCTTTTGATAAGAAGCGTATAAGCGTATAAGACCAAAATTGTACAGCAGTGGTACTGCGGGGTCTTTGCCTTTTTTTGAGCACTCACGGATGCCATCGCTTTACAATGCAGGGTGGCGTGACGCAAAGTTGGACATCATTTCAATCTTGGCTTGAACGCAGACTTTTCGAGATTTTCTCGTCTTTTCTCGTCCACATAACGATTGAGTACGGAATTCAACTCGCGGTTAGAAGGAGTAATGTCTGTGCTACACCAGTGCAAGGGGAGAGCCATCAAGCTCTGCTGCATGAGGTAGGACTAGAATGTCTTCAGACGGAGTGCGTTGCACTATCAGAAACATTTGGAGGGGTCGGTGGCGATGGTAGCGGATAACTCTTGTCCATATTGCAGACGAAGAAGCACGAGTCAAGGGAGTGGTATTAATAGAAAGACCATTCTTCGATGTATAAGTGCTCACATTACCGGCCACCCCTCTTCAGGTAATGGGCAAATATTTTTTTAGTTCGAAAAAAAGACAGAAATTTCCCGCCAGCCTAAAGACGATTTAGATTACTGCCACACGGCAGAGGTGATAAGATAATGTGCGACCGCTGAATATGACAGTCTCGGTTCGTTTGCGGACGTATCAGCGAAAGGGTGGCCTGCAGTGCTGTTCCTCATTGGCTGTGGCAAGCGGCCAGAAAATGAGGAAAGCTCGCGGAGGCAGCGTCAAAGCCTCTCCCGTGAAACTGCCAGCGTCCGTAGCGAACAAGACACAATAACTTTCTGAATCAGACTATGAACATGAAAGAAAACATGTAAGTCAGCGCCGCCTTTGTCACAATCGACTCGCCACTGTCATCATTTTTATCTCATCTGATTTGTCAAGCTTCTTCCTTTCAAAGGGAGGAGATATTGTCTCAGAGTCTTGTACTCTCGCCGCCCGTATTCGAAAGTTACCCGCTGGCCCTCACCTCCCTCCCTCCTTCGTGGCTCTAACTGCGTGCCAGAGTTGGGGGTCATTCGAAAAGTGACGTTTTTCATTCTTGGACCGTAGTGTACGAGACGCCAACACTATCTATCTGGGGTAGAGCCGTGCCAACAGGTCTCATTTCTTATCTGAGTGTGTAACAACAATGTGAAACTCCAAAAGTTTATTCCAAAAGACTCAAAAGACAGTGAAAGTCTCAAAAGTTTGTTATAATATATCTTAACTTGCGATATTTCGGTGCGTAGCACCTTCGTCAGGCCTGAAAATATTTAGCTTGTTTTGTTGGTTATACCTTCTACAAAGTGCAACCCGCACGGACCCCACCCCCACCAAGCCACTTACCAGTTGTCCCGAAATAAATGACCAACCCACCCCAACCATGCCCTTAAATAGTGGGATACTTGTGGCGCGATCACATTATAATGTTAACGTCGCGCACACGAGTTGCACTATTTAAGGGCATGGTTGGTGGTGTTGGTCCATTTTGCGGACAACTGTAAAGTGCGCTTGGTGGGAGTGGGTCGCGTTGCGGGTTGCGCTTTGTAGAAGGTATAACCAACAAAACAAGCTAAATATTTTCAGGCCTGACGAAGGTGCTACGCACCGAAATATCGCAAGTTAAGATATATTATAACAAACTTTTGAGACTTTCACTGTCTTTTGAGTCTTTTGGAATAAACTTTTGGAGTTTCACATTGTTGTTACACACTCAGATAAGAAATGAGACTCCGGGACAGCACCATACTCCGATTTGAGTTCTCATTCAATAAAAAGCTGCGCGAAAATTTTCGTACAATCAGGCAGCCAAACCCAGCGGTCCTTTCCCTCCTGAAACGCACGCGCAACAACAAGACTATACTAACCAGAATAACCATGAACGTTCTACAGCGGTTTAGTAAGACAAAAAAGTAAATTTTACAG